TTGAAACATGTAACTTGCTGTACAAATTGTAACAATACAGTCAATGCTTTAGCATATTTGATTATAACAAGTTGGTACTACTGAGTACAAGCAACAAAAAGTTTGATATGAGGCGAAAATTTTATGAAAATCCAGCAAAGACTAAAATGTCAGCAATTAGTTGGTACCCCTTCTGGTTAGGCCCCTCACTAATTCTTTGTATTAGGTTTTGGTTTATTGTAAGTAGTTGTATTCACAGCTCTTTATTTACTTCTGCGCGCTCTTTCATTTTACAGCTCATAATACCTTGAGTGAGTAGAACCAAAACGAGAAATGAACGCCTCTTATGTCTGGTTGCTGCTACACCCCATGCGCCAGGGCGATTCGCCAGATACTCCAGAGTCGCAGGGAGGCATGTGGTATGACAGAATGAAATGATTGGTGCATATTCTCACCAATGAGACGCGAAGTTTCAATTGAACTAGATGATGTGTGCAAACACGGTCAAAATGAGTGGTGACGATTTCTGGTCAGGATGTCGAACCACAGCGAAGAAACCAATGGCTGTTGCGAAACATGCGTGTGACGGGACAGAAAAGGTTGGGCAAAGTCGCACAGCGTCGCAGGAGCTGACAGACACGGGTCCCAACGCCTCAGGGGTTTTTTCTTGCCTGGGAGCTTACTGAACAACTTTCGAGATTATCCACACCAACACGGTACACCTGATGCTCGTTAGAGCCTCTCCCGGTTGCCTTGTGAACTGGATCTGTAAGCTAAACCTGCATTTCGCGGGGCATTCGTGAATTTCGTCAGGCGTCCAGCGTGCTTCAAAACTGCACATGGCAACCACCCATTTTTTCTGTGTCGCAACAGTAAGGGGTTGCAGCACTTGTCCCTGTTGTGTGTTTAGGGTTACTAAACGAACGCTACAGTACCGAAACAAGCATGCACAACAATTGTTCTTCGTAGTAAAAAACAGTCAAAACACAAACACCTTCCAATCAACACATCCTCCACCTGGCCCATCATCTCCATTCAACACACAAAACAAAGCACGCACAAATGGGCACAAGGAGTGAACACTTGGGCTCTCAGCAAAATGCCTTCGACACCTTGCGAAATCTGCTCCACCCCCCCCTCACAGACGCATCCACTCAGCCGCGTCCACATACCCGTCCATCACGGCGCCCACACCGGCGTCAAACAACTCTTGACGGCGAGACGGACGGGTCATCCAGCCGGGCAGCACACGGCCGCGCGGACGAGGGGTCTCGGGCGTGGGAGTTGCGCCCGTGGAGGGTACGGGCTGAGGCGCCACGTTGAGGTTGAATGACGGGCTCGCCCGCTCCATCCGCGCGATTACGATGGGGTTGCGGATATCGAACAGATGGCACAGATCGCGCGGCGTGATGCGGGTGGCCCGTGCATATCCGATGAGCATCTCGCATGCCACCCGTGCAGTGCGCCACGCTTCGCGGCACACTGGGTCGGCGTCGTCGTAGACGGATTGCATGGTCGTCGGCGCGTGCCAAAGCTCCACCTCTAGGCCCGCCTCCGGCTCAGTTGTGGGCTGTCCCGCAGCGCCCTCGGCGCACGTTGGCTCGCCGTCGTCGGTGGCGACGTACTCTACGGCCGTCATCGCCGCATTCCCGAGGGCGAGCACGCTAATAAGTGTCCCGACATCGTCGATGTCATCGTCGAGCTCGATGTCGGGGTAGACGGCGGGGGAGGGCTCATCGTCGTGTACATGCGTCAGCTCCAGGGACCACGAGAGCTGCAGACACCCCGTGCGCCACCAGCACCGTTGAATGGTGCGCGCGCCGACCGAGGTCCACGCGAGGACATCGCGCAAGTTCGGGCGGAAACGTGCGACGGCGAAAGTCGCGCCGTCGCCGTTCCACAAAGCCGAGAAGGCCCGCAGCCAATGCTGTCGGTAGCGGGCCTTTACGGCGGCTATGATGCCCTGATTGAGCGGCTGTGTGAATGTGGTGGTATTCGGCGGCAGGAAGACGAGCCGCACGTTGCTCATGCAGGTCGTCCGCATGCCGCAGACGATCTCGCTCCATGCGAGCTCAGAGCGGAGCATGTGGCTGCTCGCGTTGTCGAGCAGCAACACGATCTTGCGACCTTTGGCGTACATCGCACCATTGAGCTGCGATATGAAATGTGTGAATAACTGCAGGGACGGGAAGGGAGGGGAAGGCAGAACGTACATGGGAACATTGCAGGCACAAACACATTCCATACAGATTTGATATTACGCGTAATTTGTCCGCAGCAACAAGAACGCACGAAACAATAAACCACGACGAGCTTATCGGCGAGGTCATCCAGCCTTATGCGTTGTGCCGCCAGTAGCAAAGGGATTCAAGGTCATAATCCGAGCGGAAGTCATGCGGCCGCTTCGCCTTACTGATCACGAGCGGTCGGAATACGTGGCTCCCGTCAGCATTCACGAGGAATGCCACGGTGAGCCGCTCCTTCGATACTTTGCAGCCGGGAATGCGGCCGTTGCTGTAAGTGCGCCGAGGGAGGACTGACAGCCAGAGCGCCGTCTCATCGAGGTTGAAAGTGTCCCGCGGGGTGACACCGAGATGCGTGAGGAGTTGCGGCAGCTTCTCACGTGCGTGGCGCACGGCGGCCATGTCCGCGCTAGCCGCCTCGCCTTGTGTTGCACGGCACCTCACTCCCTGGTACCTCAAAGCACGGCGCACCCAGCCGATGGAGCAGCGGAATGAGGGCGGAATGCCCATGTTCCGGGACATCGTCGCGACATGGTCGCGGATGGTCTGCAGCGTCAGAGGCATGCCAGCGGGCCCTGCGTTTGCGATCCACCGCGCCATGGCCTGCTCCAGCTCAGGCCATGCGCCACCTCGACGGCGCACTTGGTTGTCGTCGGTTGCCGTGACAGCCCATCGCTCGGGGAGCTTCAATATGCGGCCGACAGTGGAGCGATCCGGGCGCAATCCGTACTGCGTGTAGCACCACCTCGCCATGTCAACATGACGCAGGCGGCGGTTGTCGACGCGGTGCGCGCAAATAGCGCGCTTGATATGGAGCGGGAGCTGCTCTTGTCGATTAAAGCGGGGCATTGTGAGCGGCTGGGGTGTGAGAGAATGCTGACTTAGTGAATTAGTTGTTCGATTTTTATCGTCACAGGTCGGGCATGCTGGGCAAGGCTGGGGCCTGTTCTTTGTTGCATGTCACATTTTGGTGATTGGTGTTCGTTCCATGCACATGGCTTGCATTTTTATCGCGTGGTTTGGTAACCACACCCTCGAATGTCTGACGTGGGGTGGGCGAAGCACGCCTGGCTGGTAATGCGCTTGTACCTTGCAAGTCCCGAATTACACGTGGCAGCGTGTATTTGACCAAATGCCTGTTACACGCACGATGATCCTTGCTTAGGTGGCGGCCTAGATGGGCGAATGCGTTCACGAAACTATAGTCGTTTCGTCCAGTCATTTTGCCTCTCCGACTCCTGACCTAGAAACAAGGCAACAGTGGGTCGGCATGGCTTGTTCGGGACTGCACGTGCATTGATGGCTGAGTCGCGTGTACTATTGCCAGCCACCCATGTGCTTGTACTGTGGGAGCAGCAAGCAGGGGTTTCCAGCTCGGGGGCAGCGTTTCCATCCGGTGCATGGCAATTTCGCGTGCACTAGTCGGGCATCATTTGTACAATCGGTGCCCATTTCAAGAATACCAGGTAGGCGGGCGGCATGTGCGTGAAACTTGTTGGAGGCATGTCGCCACATTCGCCCTTGTTGCCACGGGCAAAAATGTGACAGAAATATGAAATTGAGACGCGGATCGAGTCAGGGGCTTTAATTTCGTAACCATGTTAAATTCTCTGATGACGGGAAACTTTTGTTTATGTATTGTAGATGTTTTTCTTCCTCAAAATGGTGACTGTACCCTGAAATCGGCACGATGGTCAATTTAGTCACTCACGGGCAAAACGTTCGCGAGTGACTAAATTTCTAATTGTGAAGAGCAAATGTTTTGTGATAGGCTGAGCATCGACTGTACAGTTCGGTTTACTGTGGAAGCCCTCCTCCCAGTTTGCTTGTGCTGATCAGGGAGGTGGTGGTGACACTTCGGGTAAATTTCCAATCGCCCCGTGAAGCAGCCCTGTCCTGGGCACTCAAGTGGCACCCAAGTGGCAAACATGTCAACCACTACACGCAATCGCACAGCCTGCCCCGCCCCACCTTCCAGCTTCTGACCTTGACCGAGGCAAACCGAGTCTGGTGGCAGCCCAGACCAACCCAAACGGAACTGTACGGGCAAGCAGAACCGAGGCAGGTACGGATAGCGTTTTTGCTTGAACCAAACCAAATTCGAACCAAGAGGAACTTACCTGTCGACAAGGAGCGAGGTTTCAGCCACCCTGGAACAACTTTCCTCGGTCTTGGCTGGCCTTTTTTTCCAAGTTCTCCGCGACACTAGCGTTGTGTGAACTCCACAGTGGCCGAGTCAGATGTGTCAATTTGTGGAACACTTGTCTCCTAACACGCGTAGTTGTTGTGAAGCGAGCTGTCTGTCAACGAGCAAGCTTAGAATTCCACTCCGACTCGCGCGATGGGGGTGGTCCGTTAGTTGTTGAGTCCGCTCGATGGTCTGCATGTTAAGCACTTGATCAGTCCAGTAGTTGCCCGTAACTGCGTTTAGCTTGGGGGTATCATAGGTCGTCTTGGCTGGTGGTCACTGACTTGTAATCGTTGTACTTCACCTGCGGCTGGGATAGTTTTTGTTCTGATTTGAACCGATTTTTCGCTGATTCGGCTTTTTTTTGCTAGCTGATCAGCTTCTTGTGTGCGCGTTCTTTTGGCGGTGTGCCCAGCCCGAGGGATCCCACGTTGCTGTCGTTAGCAAGCGACACTTGTAGCAGGCGACAGTCATTAATCGGCGACAAGCAGCAGCCTTTAACCCGCCAAAGTCGAACCAGACGAGAGCCGTTAACACGCGAGAAATCCTTGCCGTGGGAGAGTAGGTACAAGGCGTCAGTCGGGTCGAGGATGGTATTCCGGGATTTGAATCCCGTGCTGCACTACTCGTCGCTGCTGCGCCTCGCGCTGCCCTCCATTCTCCTCCAGAGCGGCGCGCCGCTCGCCATCACCTTCCAGACCGCGCTCCTCGGTCGCAAGTCCACGGAGATCGTCGCCGCATGGGCCATCGTCGCAAGTGAGTCGCAGAGAGTCGCATAGAGGAAGCAAGTGCTGCGGTTTGGTAGTAAGTTTACCGTCAGGCGGACGAATGTCGCGGAAAGTGGGAGGCCTAGACGGGACGAGGATGGGGCGGAGGGGGAGGGGGGAGGGGGAGGAGGGGAGGGGGAGTGAGGGGAGGAGGTGCGCGGGAGAAAAGGAGGGACGTGGAGGCACATCATGCGTGGGGGTCGTGTGCGTTTCGTGTTGCTCGTACGCATGCGAGTGAGGAGCGTGCATTGATAAATGTCGTAACTCGTAGGCGTTTCGTTCCGTTTCGTGTCGCGCGCTTGCCCATGATGTGCGTGACCGGCTGCGTGGGACGCACCGCTTCCGTACGTACGTGCACTCGGAGGCGTCTGCTGCATCTCGCCTCGCAAGCAGTTTTCTTTGACTCGACTCTACTTAAATGTCGACTCCTCCGTAACTGAGCTTGGTTGGAGTTGACTGCACGTCGCAGATACGTTGGCTGTGTACCTCGAAGAAACGTTTTGCGTGCTTCGCAGATGCTTCCCGACGCGATCTCCGCCGTCTCTCTGACGCGCCTCGTAGCGTGCAACAGCGGCCTGTGGGAAGGAAATGTATGGCGCACCGCGGTCTTTAGGATCGAACCTCTAGCCACCACGCGCCGGTTGAGGCGTCTCAGAACCCAAAGACTTTATCACGGTATCAGGCATAGAGTCAGCACGCTCCGGGACCCTTTTACAGTTGGATCGGGTTACGAATCACGGAGGAGCAACCTGTCCGTTTTTACGTGGTCGGGGCTCTAGTTTTAGAACAGAATAAACCTTGGGAGGACGAGTAGCAGATAGAGAGAGAAAGAGGAGAGCGAGGAGGAGAGAGAGAATGGGGGAATGGAGGGGGTGGATTCACCCAATTCACTGACTTTCCCTTCTCTCTCCCCGCTGTTCCCCCATCCCTCGTGTTCCTTTGTGCCCTCTGTCTCCTCTGATCAACTGCCACGTGTCTCTTCCTGGCTTCCCGCTGCCACATAATCGGCGACAGCCGCTACGAATGCGGCTACAGTCGTCTTCAACTTCCTCGTCGTCGGCGTCACTGCCAAGGTATGGCGCGCACAATCGAATCTGCGATTCCATTCTTCCCTCCCCTTCCCTGCCCTCCCTCCTTGCTGCGCCCTTCTCTCTGAAGCAGTTTGGCTTGCATTCGGCTTGACGCGCTGGAATCGCTTGACGATTTTGAACCGTTTTGGCTTCCCCGTACACTCGCTCGTTTCCCCTACTCCCTCCAGTCCCGCCTCCCTCACCTTCTCCTCCCTCCTCCTTCCTCCCACCATCCTACGCCTCCTTCCCCCCGCTTTTTCCTTCCCCTCCCTTTCCCGCCAACCCCCCGCAGGTCACTAAGGTGGTGGCGGTGGGGGCATGGGCGCAGGTGGGCGCGCGCATCCGCCTGGCCTTGGGATGGCGCTGGTGATGGGCATGGTGGCGGTGGGGTTGCTGCTGGCGCTGCAGCAGCCGCTCTGGCTGTTGCTGGCGGATACTCCCAAGGTGCTGCCCTACGCGCGCAGCTACTTCTATCTCAGAGTCATTGGCGTGCCGCCCCAGCTGCTCGTCATGTGCACCTCGGGGATACTGCAGGGCTACAAGGTACGTTCAATGCGGTTTAGTGCGGTGATCTTGGGTGCTGTTGCTGGCGGATACTCCCAAGGTGCTGCCCTACGCGCGCAGCTACTTTTACCTCCGAGTCATTGGCGTACCGCCCCAGCTGCTCGTCATGTGCACGTCCGGCATACTGCAAGGATACAAGGTACGGTCTAGTGCGGTTGAGAGCGGTTCTGGTGGGTGCTGCTGCTGGCGGAGACTCCCAAGGTGCTGCCCTACGCGCGCAGCTACTTCTATCTCAGAGTCATTGGCGTGCTTGTCATGTGCACCTCGGGGATCCTGCAGGGCTACAAGGTACGGTTTTAGAGTGGTGGAAGGTGCGGACTGAGGGGCTCAAAGGGATTTATTTACAAGGTTCACTGTGTAGTACCGAGTGGGGCGCGGATGGTGCCCTACACACGCCCTTATCTCGTCGAATTTCCACACCCCCACACCCTGTGACTTTTGAGTCGACTCAAAAGTCACCTCATTTCCACACAACCACACCCTGTCCCCGCCCCTTCCGCTTCCTTCCACTTCCCTCAACCCCCCCTCAGAGGGTGAATCTAGTAGCGTGTCTGCAGGGCGGCAGGGTCGTGCAAGCCATGTGTGCCTCCTACAGCGCTCTCGATGCTGCAGCAGCAGGGTGGTGCAAGCCATGTGTGCCTCCTACAGCGCTCTCTTCTCTACGTCCTCATTTTGGGGGCTTGTCGGTGTCCGCCCTGGCCACCATCCTCTCTCTCATCCCATTCCATCAAATCACACCCCCTTCTCCTCCGCTCCGCCCCTTCTCCCCCCCACCTCCTCCCGTTCTCGTCCACTTCTACCCCCACCCCCCCCACCCCCCCCCGTTTTCCTTCAGCAGGTGAACCTAGTGGCATGTGTGCAGGAGGTAGAGTGCTACTAGACGTGTGTGCCTTGCCTCCTACATCGCTCTCTATAAACTCGAGTGGGGGCTTGTCGGGCCGTCGGCGTTGGCACCATCCTCGCCTCCCCCACTGTCGCCTCAACTCACACCTTCCTCTCCCTTCTCCTCCCCTTTTCCTGCGCCCCTTTTCCTTCCCTTTCTCTGCTCCGTCTCTGCCCCTTCCGTTCCCCCCTTCCCCCACCCCCTCCCCATTCCTTCAGCGGGTGAACCTAGTGGCATGTCTGCAGGGCGGTAGAGTCTTGCTAGACGTCTTCGCCTCCTACGTGGCCCTTTACGTTTCTCGACTGGGGCCTTGTCGGTGTTGGTCTCGGCACCATCCTCGCCCTCCTCTACCCATCGCCGCCGCCGCTTTTGTCTGCATCCTGCTGCTGCCGCCCGCCGAAGGGGCGGCACAAGATCCATATCTTCACGCCGCTGCTGAGCTCCCTGTCTGGCCGGGCGGCAGGGGGGAAACGCCGGTGGGGGGTGCTGGAGTCCCCGGGGGAATGGGATTGCTGGTGGTGGTGTTTTTGCTATTGGTGGTGGTGATGGGGAGGGAGAGGAGGCGTTGCACGTGCCGCTGCTGGATGAGCATGTGGGGGAGGGGGGGCAGCAGCAAAGTTGGCAGCAGAATGGGGGAAGGGCGGTAGGAGGGATGGTAGGAGGAGGGGAGGAGTTGACGGAGGAGGAGGAGAGGGTGAACGAGGTGTTGAATGAGAGCACGTGGAAGTTCATCTGGGATGGGCTCAGCACCATGCTGCGATCCGCGCTTCGTGCAGGTACAGTACAGTACAATGTGATGCACTGCGTACTGTAAGGTGCAGTTCGTTAGAATGGAAAACAACACAATCCGGGGCAGTACAGTGCGGCGTGGTGCCAGTGCAGTCCGAGACAAGCATAATGCAGTGTAGTGTGTACAGGAGATGGCCTCAGCAGCATTTACTGTCGCCCGTGCTTTCTCCCTTTCTGTTCCTTGTCCATTCGATTTCACCCATGCTCATGCAGCACAGGATGATCCACATCTGCATCCCTAGAGCGAGCCCCCTTGCCGGTCTCATCTCCCCTTCATCCCATCCCAATTCTCCAAGAATTGGGTGCATCACCCCAGGTGCTCATGCAGCACTGGATGATCCACATCTGCATCGCTCAAATAGTGATGCACCTCCCCTCTCACCTCCCCTCTCACCTCCCCTTCCCTTGCACCTTCAATTCAACTCCAGGCGTCCTTCTTCCTAGTCCTCGCCTGTGCCACATCTCTCGCCTGTGCCACATCTCTCGGAATGCACACGGTGACGACCTTGGTGCTCATGCAGCTGTGGATGATCAACATCTACATTGCTCATACTGCTCCTTCTTCCCCATTCCCCCTTGTCACCCCCCCTGGCAACATCAACGCTGACAGGCATCGTTTTTCCTGGTCCTGGCCTGCGCAACCTCTCTTGGAATGCATGCGGTGGCAGCCCACCAGGTGCTCATGCAGCTGTGGATGATCAACATCTACATCGCAGACGGCTTCGCCACCGCCGGCACCATCGTCGCCAGCAGCGTCGCGGGGCACTTAGCTAAGAGCCGCACGCCCGCAGAGCACGCGATCCACTTAAGGGACCTGAGAGAGGCGTGCTGGAGGGTGCTGAATATGGGCGCGGTGGCGGGAGTGGCGATAGCTCTGGTGTACCTGGGTGGGCGCGAGCAGCTGATGGCGCTCTTCACGTTCGATGAGGGGACGAAAGAAGGAATTGAGAGGCGCGTGGCTGTACCTGGCTCTCATCCAGCAGCTTCAATTCCATTGTAAGGCTCCCCCTTACTGCCTCTCACTGCCAGGGTAAGGTGGGTGAGTTGGGCTGTGGGACCTAAGAAAAGCCTGCTGGAGGGTGCTGAACATGGGGGTGGTGGCGGGCGTGGCGATAGCTCTGGTGTACCTGGGGTGGCGGGAGCAGCTCATGGGTCTCTTCACGTTTGATGAAGGGACGAAGAAGGAATTGAGGGGCGCGTGGCTGTACCTGGCTCTCATCCAGCCGCTCAACTCCATTGTAAGCCGCCTTCCCTGCATGTATTTCCCCTCCCCCCACCCCCGTTTTGATTTGAGCCGCTCACGGCCTGGTAAGGTGGGTGGGGCGATGGCTCTGGTATACTTGGGGTGGCGCGAGCAGCTGATGGCACTGTTCACGTTTGACAAAGGGGACGAAGCAGGAGCTCAGAGGCGCGTGGCTGTACCGGGCTCTCATTCAGCCGCTCAACTGCATTGTAAGGTGCTTGCTTGTGCTGTTTCCCTCTTTGAGCCCTAAGTGCCTTGTCCGTAAGGTGTCTGGGTTGGGGTTGCGGGGACAAGTTTGGGGTGTCTGCTGGCTCCCTTGGCGGCCCCCCTTCGCCCTCCTTCACCTCCTTCCAAAAACCAACAGGTGTTTGTGTACGACAGGTGGATCTACGCAGCGCAGGCCTTCTCCTACATGGCAGCCTTCCTCACCATCAGCTTCCTAGTGCCCCGATCCCTTGCCCCCCCTACTTGGCGCCCCCTCCATCCCCCAACTCTCTCCCACCAACAACATGTGTTTGTGTACGACGAGTTGATAAACGTAGCGCAGGCCTTCTCCTACATGGCAGCCTTCCTCACCATCAGCTTCCTAGTGCCCTGATCCTTTGCCCCCCCTACTTGGCGCCCCCTCCATCCCCCAACTCTCCCCCACCACCAACATGTGTTTGTGTACGACGGGTTGATAAACATAGCGCAGGCCTTCTCCTATATGGCCGCCTTCCTAACGATCGGCTTCCCTCCCTTGTCCCCCTCACCTCCTCACCTTCCCCCCCGCCTCCCACCACCAACAGGTGTTTGTGTACGACGGGTTGATCTACGCAGCGCAGGCTTTCTCCTACATGGCAGCCTTCCTAACCATCGGCTTCTTCGCCCTCTTCCTGCCCTGCATCGGTGCGTTCCCTTCATTGCTGCCCGCTTTCCTGCATCCATGGGTTTTTTAGGCTCTCTAAAGTAGACCATCGGCTTCTTCGCCCTCTTCCTGCCCTGCATTGGTGCATCACCTCCCCTGTATCCGTTCATCGCCCCTTTGTTTGCATCCCGTCCATGCTTGTGTTCAATCCCTTCCTGTTGACCTTGTGTTGCTGATGGGTTGTCCCCAACGTTTCTCCCTCGATGCTGAGATTCGAGACGTCATTTACTCTTTAACAAATGGAACGTCCCCCCAACCCTTCTCCTCTCGGTACAGCACACTCCCTGCCAGTCCAGACCCCACTCCCCATACCCACTCCCACTCCACACTCCCGGCATCTTCCTTCCGGTTCCCCACTTCCCACTTCCTGCTCCTTTCCTGCTCCTTTGTCCTATGGTGGCAGTATAGGGCACTAAAGCATTCATGATCACTCGCTCCCCTTTCTCAACCCCTCCCCCCCCCCTTTCTCAACCCCTCCCCTTATCCCCCCTCCCTCACTCTCCTTTTCCCGTCTCCCTCCCATGCAGCATTAGCGCATTTTTATTTCAAGACGCTGGTGGCGGCATGGGGTGCCAAGGGAGTGTTGAATGCGGTGCGCTTCTTTGTGGCGGGCTACA